GTTTTCTCCAATTCATCCTGTGTCAGGTTATATAAAATTAATCATTGGTGAACCCTACCTAACTAATACTCTTTTTTTTTGTAATTTAACGTTGTTGAAAGTTGAAAACCATAACCATTAATTGTTTTTTTATGTTATCTATTAGGAAAATGATGTGTGCACACCCGAATCTAACACCCGGGTGTGCACGCTCCCCATAAAAAAAATGATCGGTCTATTTTTTCTTTTTATGGGGAGTGTGCACACATCATAGTCCTATCTATTAAGAATCACTTTTCTTTATTTATTGAGACTTTTACTTCTTATTGCCTAGACATGGTAACTCTAACCATTAGATTTGATACTAGTAAATAATTGTTGTTCTCTAAGTTAGAGATCTAGGGTCTAATTGTAAAGGTCAAAGCCTAAATGAATTCAATTTTTTAAAATGAACCAAATCAATAAAAGGAGCACACTTAAAATGCTTTATAAAAAAAAAAAAAAAAAATTGTCTAAGATTTCCTTGACAAGTAACATTGCATAATAACAAGGGGAGTGTCTTTAATATTTCTCTTCTTATTCTAAATAATTTTAATTATTTCATTGCAGTATCCAAAAGTAAAAATTCTAATTAATCATGCTATTTTTGATAAATAGTTTAGTTGACTAGAAAAAAAAAATTAAAATTAATAACTAGAAAATAAGAGCAGTACTTAAATGACTCATCAGCTAAATAAGGAGGAGCAGTTCCATAACAAAATGGAAAGAGGAAGGCAAAAACATGGAAAATGTGTGTAAGATTGCCTTGCATTTCGTTGTTGGAGGAGCGGTTCCAATGCAAAATGGAAAAAGGAAGGCAAAAATATGGAAAATGAGCGTAAGATTGCCTTGTATATCTTTGTTGACCTCGATCCATGCATTCCAATCTAAACTTCATCAGTTGGGTACTTGGGTCGACTGAATCTTGAAGATATATCAACATCATTTTTAGTTTTAGTTTGCTCTTATTATTGTCTCTTAAAATACATTCTAATAATTAAGAATTAAAAATTTCCTTGATGAAAATTTTTAGTTCAAATCTTAAAATAGGTAATAAAGGGTATGAAAAGAGGAGAATCAATTTTTAAATAATGTTTGGTACACACTCCGATTCAACACCTTTCGATTTAGTAATTAAAAATATAATATAAATACAATCAATTCAGTCAGTTCATGTATCATGTGTATGATTATATCATTATACTTGTCTGTTTTTAATTTCATACTAAAAAATAATGATTTTTTAATAACTAAACTGAAGGGTGTTGAACCGAGTGTTGAAATATAGGGTGTACCAATCACTGTCCTCAGTTTTTATTGTTTGTTGTATAGTCACTATTTAATATATCTGAAACAAAAATACAAAGAGCAAGAATTAAATTCTCTCTCCCCCTCTCTCTTCTTGAAAAAATTTGTCAATGATATACTGTATGTATCTTGGATCTTGTTAAATGAACTATTAACTCAGGTACAATGAATAAGTTACATAAGTGTATGAATAAACATACTAAAATTGTTCTCTAACTCAGAGAAGGACTAAATTAATATGAAGAATGCTTGCAAGCTGTATTCATGTTCACAACTGAACATCTTGAACTCTATAGAACTATGAAAAAGTAAAGTATCCATCATGACTATTGACCCATTTTGTTGGTTTGAACCACACCCATCGTATCCGGCCGGTCGAAGAAAATGGGCGCACCCCCACGAAAATGGCTGATAATTTGTGGTGGGTCCATGTGGCTGGCTGTGTAGTGACCTCACCATGTGCACCGCTAATTGTGAGTGGCTCAAGAGCCCTCTCTGGCTAACCCCCATTTGGTCAGCAATTTCATCATCTCCTCTCCAGATGCTTTGTAATTTTCAAGCTCATTTTGGAATCTCATCAGCATGGAATTTATGGGCATTCAATTATTTCAAGTTCCAACAAAATTACATTACTGAGTGATAGTTTGGTTGGTTTAAGGGTTTGCTCAAAAGGAAAACCATTTGTTCATTATCTCTCTTCAGATGCTAATTTAATTTCAAGCCTATTTTGAAAAATGATTTTTTTAACATATACTTTTAAGATATAAGTTTAAAATATAATAAATATATTTTTTATTATAAATTTATATTAAAAAAATTAAAATTAAAATTGAAATTAATTATTAATGTGTCGATTATCTAATTAAATTCATTTTTAAACAATAATATTGTAATTAATGTCAATGATTATGTTTTTTTTATATAAATTTATAACAAAATGGAACCCTTAAAGGCATAAACTAAAAAAACCCTTTTGAAATATCAACGAAATGTAATTATGGGCATCCAATTATTTAAGTTCCCAAATTATGTAAAGAGTGATACTCTAGTTGATAAAGAGCTTGCTCACTTCATTTATCATGATTTTATTCTTTTAAGAGGATAATAAGAAAATGATTTGTCATGCTTTTTCTAATCTTAATATGAATTGCTCGTCTTTAATTGAACAACAAAAATAAATGTATAAAAGTTGACACTTGATAAAATAAAATAAAATAAATTCAAATACCAAAATTAGTTTCAACAGAAATTAATTTGTCAAATTTCAGTCCATTATTGAAAACGCGTCTATGATTCATTAGGGGGTGGGGGGTAATCATCTTTTACATTAGCTCACATTTTCATATAGTTAGGTTTAGATCACCTTCAAAATTAATTGTTTTAGCTTAAGTCGCCTTACTCCTATCTTGTACCAGACCAAAATATGAGCACATCTTGAATCCTTAGCTATCTGCTTGACAGTTTACACATAATTAGAGTGGGTAGCTACTTTGATTTATCGATTTAGAGACTAAATCTTAACTAGTATGCATATTGATAATAGGTTAATTTTTTAAATGAATCAATTATTTTTGAATTATTAAAAAAATTTATGCTTTTGAGATGAGATTTTTTTATAAAAAATTTATATTATAAAATAAAAAATAATTCTCT